TTGGCTATTGTAGATAGTGGCAATTTCTATGGTGAAATGTATAGTTAATACTTCTTGAGTTCAGCATGTATAAACTACCTTTTTCCATTTGATGATTCAATTCTTCCACCCCATCTCTCTATTGATATTACTGTGAAAATTTCAATTTGTTTGAGCTATTATATCATTAAGGCATCACTCGGCTTAAAGGCATCATTTACTTTTTAGCCTTTTTAAAAATTTTAAACCTTCAAACTCAAATGCTAATATACATCCTATGGCGGTATCAGATTAATGTGACTCTAGGGTGTTTTCCAAAACCAACAACCAGTTCTCTTCTCTGGACACCAACTGGATGTTCAACAACTCAATTCTGACACAAACTTCAGGTAGTCATTATCAGACTCCACAGATTAAAGGCTCAGTCCTACAAGACTGCCCCTCACTTCAGTCAGTCTCAAGTCCTGGGCCACCTATGTTTCTGACTGGCTGGGGTTTCCATAACCTCCCCACCCAGCTTTGATAATTCATTAGAATAGCTCACAGAACTCAGGAACACAGTTTACTTACGTTTATTATAAAAGATACAACCTGGGGCTGGGGCAGGGGTAGCCTGGCTGGCTCAGTGGTAGAGCATACAGACTCTTGACCTCAGGGTTGTTGGTTCAAGACCCACATTGGGTGTGGATCCTACTTAAGAAAAAAAAAAAAGATATAAAGGATACAATTTGGGAAGAACCAAATGGAAGGAGATGTACAGGGTAAGGTAGGTATGGGTGGGTGGCAGCATGCTTCAGGGTATGTCATTCTCCCTGGACTTCAATGTGCTCACCAAACCAGCTCTCTGAATCTTGTTGTTCAAGAGTTTTTACAGAGCCCAGTCTCCTGCCCTTTTCCTCCCTCCCCCACCCCAGTGCATTCACCAAAAGCTGGTAAGTAGGGCTGAAAGTTCCAACCCTCTAAACACTGGGTCTTTCCTGTGACTGGCCTCATCCTGAGGCTATCTAAGGTCCCCACCCTAAGTTGCCTCATCAGCACAAACGTGGGTGTGATTGACAAGGGCTCATTAAGAATAACAAAGATATTCTTGTCACTCAGGAAATTTTAAGGGTTATAGGGGCCCTGTGCCACGGACTGGGAATAAAGACCATATATATTTTTATATTATACCACAGGTAATTATCAAGATGATTCAGGGTATGCTAATAGGATTTTTAAAAATCAGAATGAAAATACAGAACTTTTAACATTGTCATGGAGAATTCTTGTCCTATGAATATAGCAATCAATGCATGGATCCACAGCTTCCAGTTTGAAAACTACTACTAGGAGTCAGTGCTGTGAGGTGTGTGGCCAAGTGACTCAGTGCACCTGCAGATGAGCCAAGGGGAGCCAGGGCTATTGAAAAAATCTACTATGTCATATTGCTTTTTAATATGTGTAATATTCCTTTATTTTTCCTTTACTGACTCCTTTTGGGTTTCAGATAGTGTTTATTACTCCGTTAATCTTCCCTGTTGGATTTCTAGCATCTCAGTAGTCACTCCACAGGTTATAATATTCATCCTTGACTTATTACAATTTACCTTAAGTTTGTATTTCATCATTTCAGAAACAACATAAAATCTTTAAGTGGTGTTATTTTATTATCCACTCATCCCTGCCCATTGTACTATTGTCGTCATGTATTTTATTTCTACATATTATAAACTCCACAATACAGTGTTATTTTTTGCTTTTGGTATTAGCATTTGAAAAAAAGTCCTTTCTATTAACTTTTTCTAGTGTTTTTTATTCTTTCTAGCAGATACATGCTTTCATCTGAGATCTTTTTCCTTCAACAGAAAGAACTTCCTTTAGTATTTCTTGTGTGCATGTGGGTCTTCTGGCAACTAATTCTCATAGCTTTTGTTGGTTTGAAATGTCTTTATTTAGCCTTAATTTCTTAAGAATTATTTTCGCTAGATATAGAAATCCAGATTGGCAGGGATCTGCCCCTCTTTCTGCATTGTTTTAAAGATATTATTTCTATTAACTCTTGGCTCTCATTGTTAAAGTTGGAAGTCAGGTATTTTTCTTACTTATGTGTGTCTGAATTTAATGTGTGTTTTCCCTCTGGCTCTTTTAATATTTTTCTTTGCCTGTGTGCCTTGTGGTGTTTGTTTGGTACTTATCTTGCTTGGATTTGCTGCACTTCTTGAATCTGTGGATTGATGTCTTTAGAAAATTCTCAGTAATTATCTCAAAACATTTCTTCTGCCCTATTTTGTCTCCCTGGTCCCTCTGGGACTCCAATTAAATGTATGTTAGATTATTTTGTTGCAGAATTTGCAGGGTTCTTGTCTCATGGAGTTGAAGAATGAATCTCGCAGACCCAAAAGGGTGACGTGAAAGTTTACTAAGTGAAGGTGAAAACAGAAAGGAAAGAAAAAACTCTCTAGAGTGAGAGAGGCCCTGAATGGGTTGTCACTGAGGGCTTTTAGTGCAGTCTTTTATTGAGAACTGATGGGAAGCTTGTGCCGTCTTGTTTTGTTCCCTTATCTCTTGCTCAGCTCTGTCTCAGTGTCTCCATCTGCCAGGAGTAGTTTCAGAGCCTAGTCTGGGGATTCAGGGACCTCCTATCTCTTCTGACTATACCTTAACTCCTTCCTTATTCATGGGACAGGACCTTAGGCAGAAAGAGCTATACTGGGATTGTGAGGGGTGATTGATTGTATACTTTAATTAGTGGGGGTTAGGGATAGCGCAAGTCTCCAAAAAATCTGGAAGCAAGGCTTTCAGGACCTTGAGGGGTAGCTGCTGCTAAGATAAGGTTACTTTTAAACATGAAGGCACTAAGGCAGCCACAAGCTCCTTGAGGAAGGTCACGCTCTATGTGTTTCAGGTATCAGTGGGCTGCAAGCTGGAGGGAGATTTTATTTTATTTATTTATTTTTTAAAATTTTTAAAGATTTATTTATTTATTTATTTGACAGAGAGAGACACAGCGAGAGAAGGAACACAAGCAGGGGGAGTGGGAAAGGGAGAAGCAGGCTTCCTGCGGAGCAGGGAGCCTGATGTGGGCCTCGAAACCAGGACCGTGGGATCATGACCTGAGCCGAAGGCAGATGCTTAATGACTGAGCCACCCAGGTGCCCTGTAGGGAGATTTTAAGTTACATTTCTTTTGCCTTTGTTTCCCACATCAATTTTATATTGCCTCACACATCTCTTATGTTCTGTTTTTATTAATTTTATTTTCTGTGCTGTAGTTTGGATACATTTTATTGGCCTGTCTTTAAGATCAATGATTTTTTTTCTTTGATTTTGTTCAGTCTGCTGATAAACCTATCCAATGAGTTATTAATTTCACATATTTTATTTTTTTAGTTTTAGCGTATCTAATCTGGTTTCATTAAAACTACATTTTTCTTTGCTTGAATTCTTCATCTTTTCATCTGTTTTCTGTCATATTGTCTATTTTCTCTTAAACATTTATAGAAATTATTTTTATTGTTCTGCTAATTATGACATCTAGGTCATCTGGGAGTTTGTTTTTTTCTCTTGATCTTTAGCTATTTCATATCCTGACTTGTGAAGTTTGTTTTTGTGTTAAAAATTGTGTATAAAATAATTGTAGAGGCTATAAAGTATTATTTTCCCACAGAAAAACTATGTTTTTCCTTTGTCAGATAGCTAGACTGAGTGATGATCAATTCAGTTGGGAGTTGACCCAAACCAGAGTTTTGTGGCAGCATTGTTGAACTTTAGTTTACCTCTGGTTTCACGTCTTTAGAGTGAGAATTGTCCTATAATATAGGGCCATCCCTCTAGCAGCATTTTGGGATATAAGCATCCCAATAAGGTGATATCTGTGTGCCTTTCTAGCTAAGTCCTTGATTTCTTGCCTCACCTCACATTCAGCAAAATCATAGGCAGTGGGTGAATCAGATTTGCATTTGAGGCTTCTCCAGATTCAAATCTGCCACACAAGCCCAGACGACCATTAAATTCTCTGATGATTTCTCTTTATTTCAGCAAAGTCCCTCTGCCTATGGCAGGCCCAATCCAATGCCCATCTGATGTCTGTAGCTGGAAAATGCTCCCAGCAGCTAAATTAGCATTGCTTTGTGCTCACCTAGAAAGGCACATCCCTTTCTGAAATTTATTTCCTTTAGACGTACTTGTATCCAAAAACTTCTTTATCTTTAAAATTTTTTATTTTTTTTATTTTTATTTATTTTATTTTTATTTTTTTAGATTCTTCATTTCTTTAGTTACTACAGTGTGAAGGATTGTTTGGCATGTCCTTCCACATCCTAACCAAAGGTGAAATTCTGGAAAACACTATTAAAAGGAGTTTCCATGCAGCCTGCACCCAGTGCTATGGTGCTCTGATCATTAATTTGTAATAGGGAATAATAATATTTTTAAAGTAATTTAATTCTTTTTGTTCTTCCTTTTAATTAAAAAAATTAAGCTTTTAAAAAATAAAGCTTTAGGCCCCTAGGTGGCTCAGTTGGTTAAGCAACTGCCTTTGGCTCAGGTCATGATCCTGGAGTCTTGGGATCGAGTCCCACATCGGGCTCCCGGCTCAGCGGGGAGCCTGCTTCTCCCTCTGACCCTCTCCCCTCTCATGCTGTTTCTCTCTCTCTCTCTAATAAATAAATAAAATCTTTATTAAAAAAAGAAAACAGAAACAAAAACAAAAAATAAAGCTTTAAGGGATGCCTGGGTGGCCCAGTCGGTTAAGCATCTGCCTTCAGGTCAGATCATGAACCCAAGGTCCTGGGATCGAGTCCTGCATCGGGCTCCCTGCTCAGCGGGAAGCCTGCTTCTCCCTCTGCCTGATGCTCCCCCTGCTCGTGCTCTCTCTCTCTTAAATAAATAAATAAAATCTAAAAAAAATAAAGCTTTAAGAAATAATTTATCAATATAGGAAGATAATGATTTTTTATTTCAAAATGAAAAGTCTATAAGATATGTATGAGATGATTTATGATACCATTTTATAAAAATGCATTCCATTTTCTTTTATTTTAGGAATTTTTGGAATGTGCTCATGAAGCCTGCAAAGTACATAATCTTCAGCCAGTTAAATTTTTTCTTGAAAAAATGATTCAGACATATGAAATGATGATTGTGAGACATGGGTAAGATTATAGATTATCATTGTCTGCCATAGTTAGATGTTATTTTCAAATCAAACTTTTAAAACAACTAAAATTTGTGAACCAAAGGACTCAGCAAATTTTGTATGCTAGGTAGGCTAGGGAGCAGATGCTTAACCAGCTGAGCCACCCAGGTGCCCCTGCAAGGATCATTTTTTAAAAATTATTATTATGTTATGTTAGTCACCATACAGCACATCATTAGTTTTTGATGTAGTGTTCCATGATTCATTGTTTGCGTATAACACCCAGTGCTCCATGCAGTACATGCCTTCCTTAATACCCATCACCGGGCTAACTTATCCCCCCACCCCCCTCCCCTCTAAAACCCTCAGTTTGTTAGGATCATTTTTAAGTCTTGAACATTCACATGTGTTTTAGCCTAGACTCATAGTTTGTCAGTAAGCTTCCTCAAAAACTTGATAAGCTTCTTATTTGTGTGATTCTAAGCAGCTCTATATGCCAATATCCATAACTATAGTCCTTACCAAGTCATACCTTTATAAATTTCCTTGCAGTATCCTTGAACCTATCACTTTTAATTGAGAAGACCACAAGCTTAATCTGTTTTCACTCCTGAAATGATTACTGGGAACCATATTACAATTTCATAGATTTTAATAGTGATACAAGCCCTACCCTTAATTTGATCCTTGGTGCCAGGTTGAGTAGATGGTTGTTGTTCAAAGGTTTTCCCAGTTTATCTTTTACCAGTTGGGGATGAGAATAAGTTGCCTGTAGGTTCCTGAATTTCTGGACTCCCTTTATTTTCTTTCATTCCAACTTGCAAACTGGCCATTTTTTTTTTCCCCTGGGCTCATTTCTTTCCAATAGTTCTTTGTTAAAGGTAGCCGTCGGCTGGCATTATATACTAATAATATTCTGTTTACTATCCTTTTCCCTAAAATGGCAGTTTCATTAGGTAGATTATCTGTCTTCCAAGTAACCTCAAGGAACAAATAAACCAAATGTTTCATCATTGCATAACATTAATTGCCAGTCTCTTAGCTTCTCATAACAGTTAAATTTGCCACCCACAACCTGGCCTTTAAGCCAGTGCCACATATTTAAGTATTTTTATTATGGGAAGAATACCTTGCTCTTGGGCGTCTGGGTGGCTCAGTTGGTTAAATGACTGCCTTCAGCTCAGGTCATGATCCTGGAGTCCTGGGATCGAGTCCCACATTGGACTCCCCGCTCAGTGGGGAGTCTGCTTCTCCCTCTGACTCTCCCCCCTCTCATGCTCTCTCTGTCTCATTCTTTCTCTCTCAAATAAATAAATAAGATCTTTAAAAAAAAAAAAAAGAATACCTTGCTCTTTCTAGGAACCAGTTTTCTGTCAGTAAGGATGGGCTAGGTTATTCTTTAGAAACAGTCAGTCACTAAGACCCAAATCTTAGTGACTTAAAAAAACAAAGACTTACTTCTTATTCATACTGTGCCCACCATAGGTTAACAGGAAGGATCTGCTCATCCTCATTACCCAGGGTCCCAGGTTGTTGGTGCAGTCAGTGTCTCAACATGATGGGTCACTGCTGTGCGAGAGGGAAAAGCTCTGTGAGAAGAGAGCCCTGTAAACTCCCTCACTGGCAATGATTTGTCCCCTGCTGGAAAGTAACACCCATATTTTCCACTTATTACTCATTAGTCACTTAGAATTTCCACAAGAGGGCAAGGAATCCTACTATGTGCAGGGAGAGAGGAGATTCAGAAGTATTTGGCAGAGAGAACCAGGAATTACTGTAGCAAGTAAAGACTTGAGGAACGGGAGCCTTTCCCACTTCTCTCCTTGGGAGGTCCCAAGACTTTTTTTTTTTTTCCAATCTTAAGAGTGTACCATTAAGTTTTCATTCTCATTTGGAGATTTTTTATTATAGTCTCATTTGTAGATCATGGTATTAATGTGGAGAATTTTATAGATCTACCAGTTCAGAAGTTAAATGTATTCTCCTCAAGTCTGAGAAAAATTTGTAGAATTTCAAAAACTATAAATACCAGTATTTTATACACCAGTATACAGGCAAATCATTTACCATTATTTTTTAGAATCTTCTTATATAATTCTTTTCCTTAATAGTTTCATGTTAGTAGGAGAGCCTTTTGCTGCTAAGACAAAAGTTCTACATATACTGGCTGATACTCTAACTCTTATGAATGAACGTGGCTACGGAGAGGAAGAAAAGGTCATTTATAGGACTGTAAACCCCAAATCCATTACTATGGGCCAACTTTTTGGACAGTTTGATCCAGTGTCTCACGAGGTAATCTGCAGTATAAATATTCTCTTACTGACAATGTACATTAAACCAAGAAATTTGAAATGTTTTTAATATGATCACTTTATAGTTTTATAAAGGAAGCTTTCCAATTCTCTTTTCTTCCCCAGTGGACCGATGGTATTGTGGCCAATACTTTTAGGGAATTTGCCTTATCAGAAACACCAGACCGGAAATGGGTTGTATTCGATGGTCCCATTGACACTTTGTGGATAGAGAGCATGAACACAGTATTGGATGACAATAAAAAGGTAAAATCATCATGATTTAAAGCAAAACTGATGCACAATATGAATATACCAAACACTACTGAACCGTAAACTTAAAAAAAGCTTAATATGGTAGATTTAACATAAAATGGTTTTTTTTTTTTGCCACAGTTTTAGAAAAAGCAAAATAGATGCAGACATCCTTAAGCAATATTATGTGTTCAACAACTAATTGACTAGGATTATACATTTAAAGTAAAGGATGCAGCAAGTTTAATAAGCTTATAAATTATCTGTTCAATGAAAACTATGCCGTAGTAAATCCTCTTTATTATTTTTTTTCTCTTTATTTTTTTAATAGAATAAAAGTGTATTAAAACCATTGTGTTCACAGGAGGGCATAGTAATGTACTAGGTGTTATGTTGCTAAGTGACTCCAGTCTTATGATTTCTTACAGAACTTTAATATTTTAGGAGGAAAAAAAAGGGCCTGATTCCTTTTTGAAAACACTGAATGCTTCAGTGCTTGTATGTGCTACATTACCTTAGAAGCTGTGAACTATACAAAAGAACTAGAAAATGGAAATCCTCTAGTATTTGTTGTAATTGACAAATAACATGTAAACTATAAAATGTGACTAATTTTAAGTTCTGTGCTTTTTTAAACCTATGTGTACATTCTCATAACCATCATTTAAATAAATATTCATAAAATTTCTTGCACCTACAAGGTTCGCTCATATTCCTCCCTAATCAGTACATCCTCTCCCAGGGGCAATCACTATTCTGACTTCTACTGTGATAAATTAGTTTTGCTGATTCTTGAACTTCATGAATATAGAATCATACTCCTTAGTGTTTTTCTTCTTGTGGTCAATGTGGTATCTATGATATTCATGTTGTTGTAGTTCCATTTTATTTATTCTTTTTTTTTTTTAAAGATTTTTTTTTTAAGATTTTATTTATTTATTTGAGAGAGAGAGAATGAGAGCACATGAGAGGGGGGAGGGTC